TTCTTCATTTTCCTTGTTTAGAATCAGAGGTGCTAGTTTCAAATACTTTTTAGTCTGAAATCTTTATGCTAGATATTGAATAAGGTGGTTTTATTGTTTTTTTGTCACTTTGAATAATATTTCTGTTCATGTTAAAAACAAAATCAACTCTCTGTATAAAAATATCAGGTGACCGTTAAGGCCCATGGGCCTCTTGTTTCATAGCCTGTCTCTTTTACATTCTCTGATCATAAAATAAATATCTTCGCTTGTGACATAACTAACAAACTTTCTTTAAATATATTGTCTCAAGTTGTCAGTGATTTAACTGAAATAAAACATGTGGTATGCATTATAAGAGATAATTGTAATTACTGACTGAATTGGAACCATTTACCACTGTAACAGTTTTCGTAATGTATTACAAGAGATTACATATTATTTTATGCGGGTTAATTCTGAATCCTCATTACAAATAAGATATGTATGACTAAACTACCCTGACTTCCAGTTGGTGGGGGCTGCTTTTGGTGCCGCAGGACAGAGATGCATGGCTCTGTCAACAGCCATATTTGTTGGTGAGGCCAAGGAATGGATTCCAGAGTTCATCGAGAAAGCAAAGAAACTCAAAGTGAATGCAGGTATACCACTCGTATTAGTAAACTTAACAGATCCTCACATTAAATGGATTGATTCTACATAGACAACCCATAGGTCATATTTGTTATCAATACAACTGTATTATAAATTGGGGTAAAAGCAAACATTTATCAGTTGTTCATAATAATATCATAAACTGAAAATGAAAAAAACACCAATTTTATCATTATTAAAGACACAACATGTGTGTTTGGTAATGATGCAATTGAATCCTTGGACATGTTGCTGTGTTTACAATTTAGGTAGCTGTAAAGGTTTGTTAAATGGGATCAGTCACGGAAAATGATGATATGGCATGTGGCTGTTCATTACAATTCACTAGATGTTGCTCACAACTTGAGTGTTTGATTTTTGTTAGAATTCTGACATCTTAACTTATTTATTGTTAACAAGTGTAAAACATCCTGTTACTGGATTGTATATTGTTTTTGAAGTCAACGAAAACCTGACCTATCTTTTTTAGCTCACCTGGCACTTCGTGGTGCGGCGTCCGGCGTCAGGCGTCAATATTTTACTAACGACTTCTTCTTAATAACCGAAAGGCCTAGGGTGATGATATTTGGCCAGAAGCAAACTGGGATGAAGGGCTACCAAGTTTGTTCAAATAAATGACCTTCATCTATTTTCAAGGTCACAGGGGTCAAATATGTTAAAAACTTTAAACAACTTCTTCTCAATAACCAAA